TGGCACGGCCGAGGGTCGGAGCGAGAGAAGTCCGGGGTGCGGATCGTGGCGGTGCGGTGTGAATGCCACGCACGTCCTCACCTTCACGTTTATTTGTTCAGTCGCTTAGCCAGGCGAGAGCTTAACCTGGCGAGGGACCAGAATAATGACCTCCCCGAGTTACTGAAATGACAAGAGCAAAACAAATAAAATAAAGTGCAGCGATGAAGTCGATTTATAAAAAGCCCCGGGCAAAAATAACCACGTCACATGAGAAGTCTGAGAATATTGCACGAATGTAATTTATTGCTAAATAATAATTTCCCTTTCTAGATTTGAAGCTTTCGTGACTGCAAGGATTCATATTCTTAGGTTTTTTCGGTAAAGTCACGTAGGTAAAACATAAAATTTAATAAAAGTAAAATAAAATAAAAATCACGACGTTTCGGAGGCAACACAAGCTTCCGTCTTCAGCCCAAGTCCCCCACGCAGTTTATTTTTTATTCTGGTCACGGTACGATTCCAATTCGAGTTGCGGGAAATGCTGCACAGATCTTCGGTGACGATTGTACGATTGTGTACAACGGATGAGGATACAAGAGAGTCCAACACAATTGGAAATGGCGCCGTGGTAAAAAAATCGACGGCTCTGTGGCGGGATTGTTTTTGAGCGTTTCTGCTCTTGTTCAGAGGTTAAACTCGGAAGGGTCCAACTGCTATATCGAAACGCTCGTTAGCGACCACCACACCCAGCCGGAGCACAGCTCTTGCTGTTGTCATCTTAGCCCAGTGCGTGGCGCGCAGTGGCGCATCCGTTTTGTTCTTTAAATCCAGGGTAACGGTGGAATTAATTCTCTGCTGTCGCGTGGTTCATTTTTATATCGCACGTCCGACATACGCGACGTCATATTTCTAAAAACCATAATCGACGCTCGGACCCAGCTCCCAACGCTCGCTCTCGCGACCAGCGTTAGATTTCGCATTATAATGGCCGCGCTAACAAATATATAATACTCAACCTCGCCGGTTCTGTTAAATCCACCATTTCCCTTTCTCAAAATGGTGCGGCCGGACGTATGATTTGTGCGGTGGCAATAAAGCTATACTGTAAGCGGGTGCCATGGAGACAGACGGTGACGTCACGGCACACGCATTCCGCTCGCTAAGCCGGGGGGGGAAGGGAGCCGCGTGCAACAAGCACGGTGGCTGGGCGGCCATGACAGTGCCTCCCTCCCGGTGCCGCCCGACCGCTTGCAGCCGCCTCGCTTGTAAGTGCCACTGCCGCCACCGGCGATGCGGCTTTCGCCGCGGTGACGACGCTCCCCTCGCCGCCGGGCGGCCGTTCTCTCCGTCGTGCGCCGCAGGGTGATGCTGAAACGCGCCGTCGGTGCCGCGTCGCGGGAGGAGCGGAGTTTGACGTCGTCGTGCGGCGTCGGCGGTTGCGCTCGCGTCGGGGACACGCTGGTGCATTATCGGAAACGAACAAGGTCCCCTCCGGAAATGCGCGTCGCGCCGTCGGCCGTCGAGGCCGGCGGTCGGCGCCGTGACTGGACATCGACGGCGAGTCCCGCGCAAAAGGAGCGGCGTTTAAAAACGTGAACGGGCGAACGCGGCATACGGCAGGGAGCGCTCGGTGCGAGCGGTGCAGCGGCGAGCGGCTGGTGTCTACGCCGTGTTTTTTTCCCACGCGTCTGTCGTGCGCGCACGCTTCACGTTTTCGGTCGAGGCTCGCGAGCCGCTCGTCGTGCGTTCTGCAGGAACGTGCATCCACGTCGCGGCGGGTATAAGCTTTGCGCCTCTAAAGATGCATCGGGATGGAATGTGCACATTTTTAAACGCGGTTGAAATATTGCGGCGCGATGCTAAAATTGTATTCGTTTTAATCGTTTTTTTTTATCTCCGGCAATGTATTTTTGGAAAAGGTTGGCGGAATATCGTTTAGCCAGGACTGCGGGAGCGTCCCGAGTAGACGGTGCGTTGCGCGTGCAGGCGCGTGTGCATTTGCGTATGTGCGCGTGTGCATTTGCGTACGTGCGCATACGCAAGTGAGCACCACGCATGCCAGCGAAGGGCTCTGGGTCACGGATAAATCATTGTTTGATTTGTCCCGTGGCTGCTCGCCGTGCGATGATGTCATCTCCCGACCGAGACCGCACACGTGGGTGGGTTCGCGCATCTGGCACCCTCACAACGGAGACGTTCACTCTCCGGCTACTGCTGCTCGCCCGACGAGAGGACCGGCGACAGCGGACAGCGCCCGTGACCCTGCAGGTCGCGGGCGGGACGCCGCGGTCGTTGTTAAGCGTTGCCACGGGACCACTCCCCTCCTGTGCACCCCCGTCCCACTCCTGACGCGGCCAACCCAACGGGAATCATTGTGCGCGGGGTCAGGCCGCGGGCCTTTTCCGTGTGGGTGGCACGGTCAGCCCCCGATTGGGTCTCTCTTGCAGATGAAACCCTATCCCTGACCTCTTGACTCCTCACCTGGTTAAGACTAAATACACTGGAAACCCGATTGTCCTGGGGTGACGGGGGAGCAATGACGTCCCAGAGTAAGTAATTAACTGCTGACCGGCGTAGCATGGGAGTGCAGAGGCGGGGCGCGGCTTCTGCTGTCAGCGTGACTACGACTACTTCAAGCTATCGGTTTTACCTGCACACGAGTCGCAGTCGCGACGGTGAAAACAGCGCGTGGTGTGAAACGCGGGTGGAGGGGGGGGCGGGGCGGTGAGCACGGAGTTAGCGCCCCCCCCTCCCCCCCGCAGTGCTCGCGAGCCAATTTTTGGTATTTGTGTCGCGAAGTAAGCGCGTTTCGTGCGTTGCCCGTGTAGCTGCCTGCCCGCCCGACCGCGTCGTTGCTCGCGGCGTTCGCCTCGTCTCTCCGGCACTGTTGCGTGGGCGATTTTTATGTTGGCGATGGGGCACCAGCCAGACTCGCCAGAGTGGGTGGCGCCCCCCAATGCGCTCGGTCATTTTCGTCGTCCCCGGAAAAATGAAATGCCGCGGCGGCTGAGAAACGAGGCAGCCAACGTCAATTGACGCCCCCTGAATTGGCTGTCCGTCGCAAGGAGATTGTTTTTCAGCCTCGGTCGGACTGTCGGCTGCTCTGAATAGCCGCACTGCTCTCTCTCGATTCGGCTGACGCATGGGGCAATACCGATGGCCAATAGAAAATGCGTAACTCGACGCCGTAGACGGCTGCCCCACCGAGGTGAAATATCAATCTGCGAGGTCAAACAATATCGTCACGTTCAACTACGCAACGGTCATTGACCGACAGGTTTGAATGCTGCGTTTGTTAAAGAATCGATTGCTTGCAATTTGACGCATGTGATGTGCTCGCGGGGGCATTCAGGCGAACTAATCGCGTGAGACCAGACCGGTGCGAGTCGGCCGAAACGAAGTGGGGCAGTGACAGACGAGACGTCCGCACACACCCCGCTTGGGTTCGGGAATGGAACGGCGACCCCCGAGTTGTCGCCTCCGCCACCACCTCGCCACCCCCACCGCACTGCCCCCCACCGCTGTCCCCCACCACTGCCCCCCACCGCACTGCCCCCCACCGCACCGCCCCCCACCACACCGCCCCCCACCGCACTGCCCCCCACCGCACCGCCCCCCACCGCACTGCCCCCCACCGCACTGCCCCCCACCGCACTGCCCCCCACCACTGCCCCCCACCACACTGCCCCCCACCACTGCCCCCCACCGCACTGCCCCCCACTGTTGCACTTCCTCGTATCCGTGCGCGCACGCGCGTGCTTTAGAATCGATTAATTTTCCAGTTCTTTTTTGTTTTTGTTTAAAGCTCGACGGTCACTGACGCGCCGTGGCCGTGCCTATCGGGCTCCCTCGCGCACCGCACCCACCGCCTTCGCCGCCGTCGACGATGAGGGTCGACGACGCGTCGCGGTTTCTTAGTTTGCGCCGCAGCGCGGAGCGCGATGGGCGCCAAAGATCATCCTCCGCGGCGCCGTCTCGCCGCTTGGACCCAGCAGTGGGACGGACGGCGGTGGCGGCGGCGGCGCCCGCGCATAGTTGACGTGTCGTTGACGTGTCGTTGACATGTCGTGTTGCTGTCGGTAACTATTCGTGCAGCCTACTGGTGTTGTCTGCATTTATTTGTATGGCGGGTTGTTTGCCATGGTAGCATTAATGCGATTTAGCTGATTTTTCCCATTTCCACCGGATAACTGAATTTATTTAGTGCGGTTGGGCAAAGGCGCGTGTTCACGTGCTTTTTGAGTGATTTAAACCGATTTATTTGTCATCTTTGTACACGGTGTCGCCGAGTGTCGGCTATGTCCGCAATGTCCCCGTAATAATTCGCAGCGGCCGTTGGTTTGAATCGTCGACCCGCAAACTCGACCTGCACGCGATCGTGTTGAATCCACGATCCTGAGATGGCTGCGTTGCTGTTGGGGCTCCGCGAGCCGTGTCATTGGCGGCGGCGGTGGTGGTGATGGTGGTGGCTCGCCGCACAATTCCCTGACCGGTGGGTTCGACCGCCGTGTGCTTTGAAAATGTGGAAATAACCCGGCTACTAAAATTACAACACAGGTCCGGCGGAGCACGAGTGCGAGTGGGAGCTTTGAATGACAGGAATAAAGAAAAAAGCAAGCGTGTCGACACTGCCAGTGGCGGTGAAAGCCCCCGACCGCCGCCCTGTGGGTCGCGTTTGCGCGTGAAGTCGTCGCAAGCGGTGGGGGGGGGGGGGGGGGGGCTCGGGAAAATGGAGCGACGCGCCCTTCGGCCAATAATGGGGAAGATGGCTGCGGCTCCAGCCAATGGCGAGGGAGGGTGGGCGTGCCGGCGGGAGGGAGGGGTGTGTGGTGGCGGCGGCAGCGGCGGCGGCGGCCCCCCCCCTCCCCGTCCTCCGACAGCTGTGGTTCGGCCGTGACGCAGGAGCCAGGACGGAGGCCATGTTTGTGCAGGGTCACGGAAATTGACGTGGGCCCGTGAGAGCGGCCGTCTGCTCGTGCTCGCCCCGCCGCGTGGCCGCGCAGGTAGAGACGTGCGTGCGTGAGAGCGTGTACGTGCGCGTGCGCTCGCTCGGCGCAACCAAACCCGTGGTGCCTCTGTCCGCGGCGCCACCGGGCTCCCGGCTTCGGCACCGTCCTTCACCGCGGGCGCAAGCCGGCGCGCGGAATCGCGTTGTGAACGAGGGTGCGAATTAGTATCCGGACAGCGGATTTAAATATCAAACGGCGTAAAAATGTAGTGCTTTGATTGCAGGTGAAGGAGTGGTGGTACCCGCTAGCGCCGCGATGCTAATCGTGGGATGGCGCGGACAGGGGGGGTCGGACGGCGGAGGCGCTCCCGTGTTATTTAAATCGCGCTCTAATAATAATGATATGGACGCCGCCGGTGCCGCGCTCGCGCGGTCCGTGCACCGCCACCGGCGTTGTTGTCGTTAGCGCCGCGCGGGGCTCCGAGGGCTTGTGCTCCGTGCGGACGCGTTCCTCGCAACGCGTGCGTGCGCCGTCCCGGATCTGGGCCGCGTTGATGCTTCCCCCCCCCCCCGTCACTCGTCGATCGACGAGCGCACCGCTGCGGTGTTTTAATCTGCGCAGGTTAAAAAATTTTCCCCACTCTCGTCTGCAATGAAAAAGAAAATTTCCAAAAAAATATTTTCGTACAAATTTTTTTTTTTTAGACCAACGTTTTGTTATTCGTGGCTCGTCGGCCGGCGTCTGCCTGCTTGGCAGATGCGGCCGCGTTTTATCACAATGCCGCAAACGTACGAGTGTGCTCATTTCCGCTCGGTAAAATTAGTACTTTAAGTGTTTAAAAAAATCCGCGTTTGGATTGAGACGCGGCGTTTGGCCATTACCCGTTGTGGAGCGAACGTCGCGGGCGCTCTCCGGGCGCACGCCAACCAACCGAACGTGCGCGCGTTTCCTGATGCGCAATCATCTTCTTTTTCCTCCACCCACACGTGTACAGTGCCGCGCGGCTAAGTTGACACCGTCGGTGAAACCTCCCCTCCGTACTCTGGTGACCGCTGGCCCGAATCGCACGCCGTGAATTATTTCCGCCGCTCGCTCCGCCGCGCTCGTTTTTCTGCCCGTCGCTCGTCCGCCGATTTTTTTCCGTGAATTTTCCCAGCAAAATTGTTTTGATGCCGTGGTGCGCAGCCACCGCCGCCGCTGCCGCCGCCGCCGCCGCTGTTGGCTTGCGGTCCGTCGGTCAGATCGCCGAGCAGGGGTAATTAAGCGAAACGCATTTAACTAATTAATGATATCAAACTCTCCATTTGGCAGAATGTGCTTTATAATTTATAAGTGGTGGAACGGCATTTGGGGGGGGAGGCCACATCTGGGGAAATTAGCTTTTGTCCGCGGACCCTGCGGCGAGCGAGCGGAGGTCTGCAGGGCTCGGGAAGCCGCTCGCCTCGAGCGCACGGAGACAAAATGGTGGCGGGCTGTAGGAAGCGCGTGGCTCCAGAGCGCTGCCCCGACGGTTTTTCCTCTCGGTGTGCGTGGCAGAGGGCCGCCGTGGGAGCTCCTCCGATCGCACCCCCCCCCCCCCCCCCACTGCGGCCACGAAGGGCGACGGTGCACGCGTGTGGCACGCGTGTCACGCAACGATGACGATCGGGGCGCCATGTGGCAATTTATTTGGAATCCCAACAGTGGTCAACGGCTAAAAAAATGCGGGGGGTTCTGGGAACCCCCTCCGCCCGCTTCTCGTCATCGACGGTGCCTGCGGCGGCACTCGCTACCGTCTCTGTTTGCGTTCCGCCGGAACACTCGGCGGCTTCGCCGAGGGAGGAAGCGGCGGTGCTGGAACCCGTGGGCGAGCTCCGACCTCGCGAGTTGGCTTGGTCTCTCTCGGCCCCGTCGCTGGTCGCAGGTGCAGCGGCCTCCCAGGGTGTGGCTGTGGCGGCGCGTTGCGTGGAATTCGATTTTTTTTTATGGTATCGCGGGGCGGGGGAGGCAGGATGGGAGCATCGTTGCCGTCGGCCGTGAACCCGTCCCGGGGCCTCCGTTGCACAAACCCCGTCGGGAACTCTGTGTGGCCAACGTGCCGCGCTCGTGACCTTCTAACCTGTCGGCTCGTGAGCGCCCATTAAAACGTAAAGTCTCCCTCGAGGGAGATCTGCGACACGAAGGAACGTAAATTAACGTGAACAAACGGCCGACATTACGAGCCCGACGATCGGTATGAACGTTAAACAACAAGTGCCCAACGGCGAGTGACGGACGGGGCGCGAGTGACGGACGGGGCGCGTGTGAACGTGCGGGGTGCTCGCCCGGCGCCTCGCGGCGCACGCAGGTGAGCGCCGCGCCGAGTCGGACGCCGTTGATGACCGCGACGTCGATCCCGCGCGCGTCCGTGTTTTGCTCCGTCCCGCGCCGGCCGCACGGCGGGCGAAGCGGCGCAAGCCTCGCGGCCGTGCGTGTTCCGCCCGAGCGCCGAGCCGGCCACCTCTCGTAAGCCCGGTCGGGGGAAATGTCGACGGGCGGCGCCGTTAACCCGCGGCCCTCGCGGGCGGTTCGCCGGCTTGGCGCACGCGCCGGGGGCCGGCGGGCGGCGTCGTCCACGAGCACGGACTTCGGCACCCAGGAAGGGTTAACGCGACCGCGCCGGAACGGGACGTCGCTGTTCGGCTTGCGGACCGCTCGGACTGCTCCCTCGCCCGCTCGATTGCCGTCCGCCATTTTGCGTGGCGGTGCATGGGGGCGGTGTGCCGACGTGGCCGTGGTGGCAGCTGTACGATTGCGGCATGCCGTGTGATCTACTGTACGCCGTGTGATCTACTGTACGCCGTCGGCAAGGTAACGGCCGCGGTGAAATAGACGCCGCGTTCTCCTCGGGAGCAGCGGAGCAGGATGTGCGCCAGCTGCTTCCTTTCGCGCGTGAGGTGGTGACGCGTTCTACTACATTCGTTTGTGGTGAAATTGACTTGGCGTCGTGATATCGGCAGTATCGGCAGCTTTATCGGCAATCGAGTTTTGCATCTGCAGCCCTGATTGTGCTTACCTCGTGAAACAGCATGGTTTCCATCATCAGCCATGGTCTATTCACTGCTAGGTGATAGCCTCCCCACGCCGTCGCTCATGCATTGTGAATTCAAAATTTTCGTGAATTCGAATTGTAAAAGCTGTCGGTTTTGCTCTCCTGCACATCGGTGTGCTAATTGGCACGCTTTGTTCACCTGCCAATTAGCAAGGCTTGCTCACAGACCTTACTGATTGGCTGTGGGTGTACGGCGCATTTACATTTACGCGACCCAACCCAAAATAACTTGACCCCGGAAAACATGATCACGTGCCACGCACGCACGCACGTGCGCGTGGCTTGCGTGACGCTTTCCGACACTCGATCGCCTTGACGGGCACTGCACTCGCGGGGCTAATGCAGGCCGGCGGGGAGCGGTCGGGGCGGCTCGCGTCTCCGGGTTCTGCGCACGATGGACGTGTCCGGTGTTTTGTCGGAACACGACGCCCGCCGCGGGGTGGGGGGGGTCGCGTTCGCGCCGAGTTGTCATGCGGCGAGCTCGGTCACCGCACTCCCACACCCCCTGGGAGACGCGCACGCACACCCACTGCACACGCTGGGAAAAAAATAAATCGATTTTACGAGTAAAATAAAGTATCTGTTCGGTACGATTTAAAGGCCAGTCCTGTGTCGGTGATTACACGGGAATTGAGTGCCGGCGACGGTGAGAATCCATGGTGAGCAAAATCCACGAGTGCCGAGCTGTGCGGTCGGGCGCCGTGGTGAGGTGAGACCTCCCCCCGTCATCGCGGTGGTGCCGGTTGGGGGGCACTCTTGAGTCCTGGCCAAACAAACAAAGCGTGCAAACTACGGGGGGAGAGTCGAGCGCCACTCGAGGGTGGGGAAGAGGGCAGGCGCGCGTAGGGATGGCGTTGGCGCGTGCCGCGGCGCTCGCAGAGTCAGAATGTTTATTTAGACTGGAGGAATCCGATGAGCTATGAAGCTCTTTTTCACAGACGTCCAGCAACAAGCAGTACAAAAACACGATAGTCGTGCAAAGTACAAGAAAGGTAAACAAATCACCCAAACACATACAAGTCAAACTAAGCCGTCCACGTACACGCGGTCATACGTACTTGCACACACAGGTCAAATTCGTATGTGTCACCCGCAAAGACACGGGGCACGTGCGTGCACTGGCTCGCACAAGTGCTGCCCCCTCCTACTGTGTGGAGCAGGGGTCACATGAAGGGCCATCGAAGCTAGCTCTGATATCTGCTTGCAATGGGCCCTTCTCTAACGTGAGATGTCGCACTGCTTTGCGAGAGATGGGGATGGGTATCTCGTGGCCATGTGATGCCGATAGCGCAATTATACGGCAACTTAGTTGACAGAATTTATACATTCGATGAAAAATTCGATATACGTCAATTTGAATTTACAGGATTTTGAATCCATGAATTATAATATTTGTGGGAAAAATCATACAACGCGCGTCGATCGCCCCTATTTTATAGCGATCTTACTTTGGTAAATGTTTGTTGAGATGTCTGCAGGGAGCCCATTTAAGTATCGGAAAGGTAAACAAATCTCAAACTAAACAACGTTTTGTCTTGCCAGGGAAAGCCCACTGAGGTATGAACGCATTTTACAGAAGTGAACTGGCCACAAATGATAGCTCAACAACAAGTGGCTTATCGTCTCGTCGGCATTGATAGCGGCGCTGTGCTGTGTACGGCAGGAGGGCCCCGATGGCGCCGCCGGGCGCCGTGATGGACGCGGAGCACCCGGGGGCCGTGCTGCGCCGCCTGGACGAGCAGCGCGGCCGCGGCACCTTCTGCGACGTCACCATCATCGTCGGCGACCACAAGTTCCGGGCGCACCGCAACGTGCTGGCCGCCTCCAGCCCCTACTTCAGCGAGCTGCTCTTCGCCAGGGGCGCGGAGAGCGGCGGCGCCGGCAGCGCCAACCGGGTGCTGGAGATCTCCTTCGTGAGGGCCGAAGTGTTTGCCGAGATCCTGAACTTCATCTACAGCTCGAAGCTCAGCACGGAGCGCGGCGGCGCCGGCGGCGGCGACGACGCCGCCCTGTCGGAGCTCGTCAGCTCCGGGGAGAAACTCGGCATGCGCTTCCTGGCCGGCCTGGAGAAATCTCCGGGCTCCCCCGAGAGGCGCGAGACGCCGGTGCCGGTGCCGGCCCCACCTGCCGCCGAGACGCCTCGGGCGCCACGGCCGGCGCTCGCCGTCAAGAAGGAGCTCTCGGAGAAAGAAGCACCGGAGGCGAGCGACGGACCCCGAATCCTGAGCTCCTACTCCATCCCCCAGATGGAGAAGGCGGCCGCGGCGGCCGCGGCGGCCAAGGCGGCGGTGCGGGAGGCGCGGCGGGAGAACTGCCCGGCGCCGGTCCCCGCGCCGCCCGCTACGGTGTCGAGCTGCTCGCTGTACGACGTGCACTCGGTGCTGGCGGATGCTTTCCTGATGGCGCTGGAGCACTCGTACGCCATGCCGCCCGAGCCCCTGCGGGCGATGCTGAACGCGCGCTGCCAGGGCCGCCGGGGCACCGCCCCCCCCCCGGGGAGGCCGTGTCGCGTCCCCGACGCTCCGCGGCCGCTCTTCGGCTGCGGCCGCTGCCCCCGGACGTTTGACGGCGCGGACAGCCTGCGGGTGCACGAGAGGAGCCACAGGAGCTTCCTGGTGCAGTGCGATCACTGCAGGAGGCCCTTCATGAGCGAGCGGCTGCTCAGGGCCCACACGTGCCTCCTGCGGCTCCCGCCGCCGCCCCTGCCGCCCCTGTCGCCGCCGCCCGTGAGCGTCACGGCCGAAACGCCGTCATCGTGCGCCGTCGTCAAACTCGTCCTGCCCGTCGCTCGGCCGCGCGTCACCGCCCCCGCCCCCGTCGCCGGCGACGACGACGGCGGCGACGGGCCTCCTCCGTGCGTGCGGCCCCCGGTGCCGGGCGCCGAGCGCGGTTACGGCGAGCCGGAGGCGGAGACCCGGGGAGTCTACAACAAGAGCGGGAGCAAGGCGGTGTTCTCCGGCACGCTACGGCGCAGGCGGCCGTCGCTCGAGCCGGACCACTACGCGCGCGTCGTCGAAGGGCAGGTCCTCTACTTCTGCTCCGTGTGCGACCGCTCGTACGTGCAGCTCACCAGCCTCAAGCGCCACTCGAACGTTCACTCGTGGACCAAGCAGTACCCGTGCCGCTACTGCGAGCGCGTGTTCGCGCTGGCCGAGTACCGCACCAAGCACGAGATCTGGCACACGGGCGAGCGCCGCTACCAGTGCATCTTCTGCAGCGAGGCCTTCCTCACGTACCACTTCCTCAAGACGCACCAGCGCACGCAGCACGGTGTCAACCCCTGTAAGACGGCGGACGGCGGCGGCCCCGCGGCCGTGGCACAGGACCCGCTCGTGCGCTTCTACCGGCTCCTGCCGCGTCAGGTGAACAAGCGTCTCTACAGGACCTACAGGAGCTTCGACTACGGCGCCCCGCGGGCCGCCGCCGACGGCTTCGCGCCTCCCGCGGCGCCGACGCCCGCGGCGCCGCCCGAGAACGCCGGCCTCAAGGTCGAGGAGGACGCGGGCGGCACCGGCAGCGACGAGGCGGACGACGCCGCGGACGGGCAGATCACCGTGTCCATCGCGGACGACCGGCCGGACGAGGAGCCCTACAGTCCCGAGCCGGACCTCCGTCCGCCGAAGAAGAGGGGCCGCAAGCGGATGGTGTGGACGCGGGACGGCGGCGCCGCGGGGCGTCGCGAGCGCGACGAGGACAGCGACAGCGACCAGGAGTGGAAGGACAGCAGCTGGAAGCCGTACTACTCCTACAAGCCCAAGCGCAAGGGCCCGCGGGGCCCGCGAGGGAGACGGCGCAGGCGGGGCTGGCGGGGGACGACGCGCTCCTCGGGGGCCTTCGGCTTCGGCGGCGAGGCCGAGAGTTCGGGCGGCGGCTCCGAGCCGAGCTACGCCACGCGGCGCCGGTCGGTGGAAGCGGAGGCGGCCGGCGCCGCCGCGGCGGGCCGGCCGGACGCCGCGGATTCCGCGGGGGGCTTCGGCGTCGCCGCTGTCGCTGCCCGCGACGCGGAGCCGCGGGCCACGCCGTGGGCAGGGGCGGGCGAGGGTCTCGCGGCCGGCGCGGAGCCGGACGCCCGTCAGCCGGTCCACCTGTCGCGCGGCGACGACGGCGGCGGCGCCGGCAGTCGATGGTTTCCGGTCGAGAATGCCACGCGCGACGAGGCGGACTCTGGGAAGGCTGACGCTGCGCACGGCTTTTACACCGTGGACGGGAGGGGAATGCGGAGGTCCGCGGAAGACATCGCCATCGCCGAAAAGCTGCTGCAGATGGGGGAGCTCACGCCGCTCACGCCGCCGCCGCCGCCTCCTGCGCCGAGGCCGGCCTACCTGGACCCGCAGGATGGGAACGACGTCCTGCTGGACTTGACGTTTGGCAAACATCGCGTCGCGCACTGCGACCCCGGCCCCGCCCGGCCGTTCTGGGCAGACGCGGGCAATGCCAAACGCGCCTTCGAAACGCCAAACGACAATCTCGGCTATTTCGGCGCCGTCGCCTCCGGCCGCGGGGAGGACGAGTGCCGCGGCCTGGACCTCAGCACGAGCAAGGAGCACGTGGACGGCTGCGGGCTGGACGGCATCCCCAGCCCGTGCAGCAGCGACGAAGAGGACTGCGCGCCGGCGTCCGCCGTCGACCGCGCGCCGTCGTCGCGCCTGGTCAAGGGGATGTACCCCTGCGTCTACTGCGACAAGGTGTTCCCCTTCCGCTGCCGGTGGATGAAGCACCAGCTGGCCGACCACAACGGCAAGACGTTGAACCAGCAGATGCTCGCCAGCTCCGCCGCCAAGGAGAACTGCGACGACGCTCCCGGCGACGGCGCGGACGGGCGACGCGGAGGCGGGCGGTGGGGAGGGGCGGCGGAGCAGCGGCCGTGGGAGCCGGGCGCGAGGCCGGACTCGGACGGCGCCGGCCCCGGGGGCGGCCGGACGGGCGACGAGCGGGGCGAGTTCAAGTGCTTCTACTGCCCGCGGGTGCTGCGCACGCTGGCGTCGCGCTCGGCGCACCACACCTGGCACCGCCGGTGGCTGAAGGCCGCGGAGCGGCGCGCCAAGTTCTGCCCGCCGCCCCGCGCCGACGACCCGGCCGACCGGCGCCACCGCTACCCGCCGTGCTCCAACGCGTTCGACGCGGCGGACTCGCCAGCCGCACGCCGCCGCCGGCGCGAGCGGCGGCCGGCGTCGCCCGCGGACCCGGCGGGGCCCTCGCGGGGGTGGGGCGGCGCTCCGCGCGGGGCGAAGTTCCGCTGCTGCTGCTGCCCCCGCGTGCTCAAGACGGCGGCGGCGAGGGCGCTGCACCAGAAGAGTCACGGGATGACGGCGTCGCCCCCCAGCCGCGTCCAGCACGTGGCCGCGGCGGCGCCGGCGTACGAACAGGCGCTGTGACGGCACTTGGCGCCGGCCGCGGCCCCTCTCCTCCGTTGTCCAGGCCCCCGCGGGAGGGATGCATGCGCTCGTGTCATTGGCGAATTCCCCTTTTTGGGACGGCCGCGTGTCTTGCTCTGCTTCCACGGGTTTCCGCGTTGCTCGATTCGGTTTCCTTGCGCACGCGAGAGGAGTCGCACGACTCCAGATTTTTGTACGGTCTGAACACACCACAGACGCTCGCTAATAGCACTTGCTCCAGCAGCCCGCAAGGCTGCACCGGAGGTCTTTGTTTATTGATGTGCACACACACAGGCTCCAACTAAAGCAAGAGATGTCTCAACGCCTCGCCTTCTAAGATGACTTTGTTCGACGAGTCACCGGTCGGCAGGCTCCCTGCTGCGTGCGCGTCACGCGTGTGTGTGGCGTGTTGCGTGTACTGCGCGTGTGTGCGTTTGTGTCGATCGTGGGGGAGGGCGCTAGCGTAGCGGTCAGCGCGCGGATCTATGAACCCGGCGGCCAGGGTTTTATTCCCGCTCACGGCCAACACCGGTAACGATTATTCGAACTGCTCCTGGGCCTCCCCTAGGTCGACTCGGCCTCAAATGAGTACCTGGGGCAGTGTGTGAACGTCGCCACGAGGGAGACGAAGGCAGGGTGCTGGACGCCCACCCCCTCGTGTGCCACAGTGCCGGCCTTCACAGGTGCTGCTACTCGCTAACAGCACTTGCCCCACAACCGTCTGTCGAGGCTGGGTCCGGTCAGCGTGTGGCGTGAGAGAAGAGGGTAGCCCCCCCCCCACCCCCAGCAGGCACCGCCCTCTCCAGTGGGACAGAGTGTCCTCGTCGCTGCGAGGAGGCATTTTGTGCGGCCTGGGCCCCCTCGCGCTCCCCCCCTTACTGGTGAGGCCCCGCAGTCGGATCGCGCGGAAACCCTCGCGGCCCAAATCGCCCTGCCGAGTGCTCGGCTGTCGGCGGAGGGGCCGGGCAAAACTATTTTGACGACGGTCGCGTTTTTTGTGAATCTGCTTCGGCTGCGAGTGTCGTCGGCACGACGGACGATGCCGCGCGGTGCCGCAGGTGCCGGACGGAGAGCGCTCGGCGTTCCGGCAGGCCGCGCAAATGTCGAGCCTTGCCCTGGGGCGGCTGTCGCTCTCCTCGGTGACGCGTGGACACACATGGGCGGATTGACGGCGGTTGTTGTCGTTCGCGTGGTGAAGACGCGCAAGCCCTCGGTTGTAATTATTTTTGTTTCTCCGCACCGGTTGCTGTCCGTTTAATATTGGATCAGTTTTTTGTTTGTCCAACGGCAGTTTTCTTGCCGTTGGTATTTAATTTGTTGACATCTAACCGTGAATTAAATATTTAATAAAAACACAAAGAACGTGTTTTTTTTGGACAGGTTTGCAAAATGTCCTTTTCCCATATCGTAGGGACCATCACGACGCACGTTTCGCGCCCGCACGGTGGTCATTTGCTGTTGTTGAACAATTGAGGGAGAAACACGGGAAATAAAGACGAACATGAAAACTCAAAAACGTGCACTCCACTCGTCGTGTTCTCCGTGTATCTTCCGACTGCGGTGTGGCCTCGTGGAGGAGCTGGGGTTGGGCCGTGTCTGAGTGAGTGTAGTGGGGAGCGGTGGTGCAGTGGCTTGCGTGCTGCGCTCCGAACCCGGTGACTCCAGTTCGATTCCTGATCACGGCCAACATCGGCGGCATATTTGAGCCGGTCCTGGGCGTCCCGAAAGTCGGTTCGGCCGTAAATGTGTAAACATCATCACTGGGGAGACAAAGGCGGTCGGGTCGGGTGATGGCCGTCCACCCCCTCGTGTGCCGTGCCGGCCTTCCTGGGTGCTACTCGCTAACAGCACTTGCCCCAGCAGTTTGTTAAGGCTGTACGGGGGATATGTGTCATTATCTTTGCGCTGAAGAGCGGGCCTCCCAGCCGTGTGCAGAATAGGGCCCGCCCGACGTGACCACGTGGCCCGTCTCACGTGGCCTGCTCTCAAGACTGGCCAACCAGGGTCACGCAAACACAAGCGACGTGTGGTGCCGCACGCGCATGCAGATCATGTCAACACAAACCCACGCGGGTGAATTCAAGATTGTCGTGATAAAAATTAAACGAACCGTGGCAACTGAACCTCTGCGAATTGCGGGGAGGCTATTGGGGAATTGCAAATTCGAGGTTCGTCATCACGGTGACCCCTGGGTGACCCAATTGCACCGAGATCGGCTTGGGAGCAACGGGAAGATTTGGAATTGGTGGCCAACGTTGTCATGGTCCAACACCCCTCGTCACCGCGGGAGAAATCGGCGTGGGGCCAGCGTGAAGCTCTCACTCCCTCTGGTGGCCGCGGCTCGGGGAGTCACGGGGTTCGTGTCTGAAACATCCTCCATAATCATCCCTCCTTAACGCCATGCGCTCTCTTCTGATCCGCAGCCACCCTTCTAAACGGTTCAGTGCTTTCCTGCTGCTCGGTGAGCAGTTTACATCCCCTACACAGCCAGTGGTGGAAATTCCACATTCCAATGGCGGGGGGTTAGCCCATAGAGCAACCACACATTACTCATTTTGTTTGTCTTTATCAACCCCGGAGGGATGATGGGCTAACCCCCCCGTGCCACACCGCGAACCCGCCACACCTACAGCACCTGGCCAGCTCTGTGGTCACCCACCCAGGTACTCGCCCGCGCTCTAACCCCCCTGCTTAGCTTGCAGTGGGTGAACCGTGCCGCAGTCCACGCCGTGGTGACTGGTGAGGGCGCCGAGTCGTCGTGGCCTGGTCCTCTGCTGCCCTCTGCTGGTCAGGCAGAGGCACCTGCAGGGGCCGCGGGGCTCGCCCCGTGGGGGTTCGCCCTCTGCCGGGGATGTGAGCGCTGTGCATGGATGCCCGGCCGTGTTGCAGGGTAACTGGGCAAAGGCGCGGCAGTGCAACGTCTCGCTCACGGACCCTGCTGGTGGAAGGGTCTCCACTCGAAGGGAGTGGAGGCCCTTCCACGGGTGCTTTGGGGAGCTCTCCCATCATGATGGAAAGTAGTTCATCGTCTCCCATCTTGGCAATGTGGATATTATATTCTTGGTTCTTTCGGTAAAGTCATGTAAAGTTACCGAAGGAACCAAGAATATGAATCCCTGCAGTCACGAAAGCTTTAAATCAAAATTAATGTGGATATTGATGGAAAGTAGAACATCGTCTCCCGACATGGGAATGCAGCTCATTTTTTATTCTGCCTACAAGGGGAAATGTCCGCTCACCCTGGCAGTTTGTCACTGGCAAAGTTAAAAAAATCCGAAGTGCCACGAAAACATTGGGGAACGCTGACTGCAGATTAAGTGCCTGCAACGTCTCAAGCAATTTAGTTGGGCACTTCTCATCCTCAGTGTCAGACATGAAAGACTTGAATTGGATGAGATCGTTGGAAAAGTTCATGTCCAGGTCTGATGGATATGCAGCAGAGAGTGCATTTACCTTTTCCACTATGACATCACTGTTAGACACCTGATCTGACATGAACAGAACTCCAAAGAGACTGGTCAAACGCTTGCAAGCGTCCAAACGATGTTCAAGGCATGCCACTAGCTTTTCAATGACCATATAACACGTTTCTATTACTGGTAGTAACCTCCTGGTTACACCAGCCCACAGGGGATTATTGTGTCCGTCCGTCGTGCAGGGAGGAGCTGGGTGGGGAGGGAGGGGCTGGGTGCGGAGGGTGGGTAGGGTGGGGAGGGGCTGAGTTGGATGAGTGGGCATGTTTACCCCCCCACCCTCCCCGACATCTCTCAGACTCACACTCACGCTCACACTCTCAGACTCACACACACACACTCACTCTCAGACTTACACACACACTCACTCTCACACTCTCAGACTCACACACACATACGCTCACTCTCAGACACACACACACACTCACATCTCAGACTCACACACACACTCACTCTCACACTCACAGTCTCAGACTCACACACTCACTCTAACACTCTCAGACTCACACACACACTCACATCTCTCACACACACACTCCCTATCACACTCTCAGACTCGCACACACACACTCACTCTCAGACTCACACACACACTCACTCTCGCACTCTCACACTCACACACATACGCTCACTCTCAGACACACACTCCCTATCACACTCTCAGACTCACACACACACTCACATCTCACACACACACTCCCTATCACACTCTCAGACTCACACACACACTCACTCTCACACTCACACACACATACGCTCACTCTCAGACACACACACACTCACATCTCAGACTCACACACACACTCACTCTCACACTCTCACACTCACACACACATACGCTCACTCTCAGACACACACTTCCTATCACACTTTCAGACTCACACACACACTCACATCTCACACACACACTCCCTATCACACTCTCAGACTCACACACACACACTCACTCTCAGACTCACACACACACTCTCACACTCTCACACACACACATACGCTCACTCTCAGACACACACACACACTCACATCTCAGACTCACACGCACACTCACACTCACAGTCTCAGACTCACACACTCACTCTCACACTCTCAGACTCACACACACACTCACATCTCACACACACACTCCCTATCACACTCTCAGACTCACACACACACACTCACTCTCAGACTCACACACACACTCACTCTCACACTCTCACACTCACACACACATACGCTCACTCTCAGACACACACTCCCTATCACACTCTCAGACTCACACACACACACTCACTCTCAGACTCACACACACACTCACTCTCACACTCTCACACTCACACACACATACGCTCACTCTCAGACACACACTGCCTATCACACTCTCAGACTCACACACACACTCACTCTCACACTCACAGTCTCAGACTCACACACTCACTCTCAGACTCACACACACACACACTCACATCTCACACACACACTCCCTATCACACTCTCAGACTCACACACACACACTCACTCTCACTCACACACACACTCACTCTCACACTCTCACACTCACACACACATACGCTCACTCTCAGACACACACTCCCTATCACACTCTCAGACTCACACACACACTCACTCTCACACGTGGCCCTGCTGGGCGGTCGATGGGGGGGCATGGGTGGGCTGCATTCCGATGCACGACAAACAAATAATCCCCGGTGGGCAGTGTGGAACCTGCTGTTCCTACCTGTATCAACGTTTAACCTACTCACGCCGGCTTGTGCCCGGAATACACCACGCTGCCGTTGACCCTGGCCACTGACCGAGCAACCCAACGTTCCTACCAGCTCCCTCCGCAGGAATGTGTTGTGAACTTCTCCCTCCCCTCAAGTGTCACACCTGGCTCTGAGCTCTCATCTGCAAATGTTTTGCGTTTCCTCTTTCGCTGAAGATCGTGGTTATATGACGGAGAAAACCCTGTCACATTTAAGGCTGCCATTCCCCCATCAGTGTGTGGATGAAGAGCAAAATGTGTACAGTGACTGCAACATGTTCAAAAACTCGTCAGCCTCTGGGCTACTGCCGTCTAAGGTGTTAACACCAACTCAGTTAAGTGAATGCGCTGCGCAAGGCACAGACTCTATCAGAGTTTTTTTCAGGTGGGCCTGTAGCCCATGGTATTTTCCTGACATGTTGCTTGCATTGTCACATGACTGACCTCTACAGTTTGAAAGGTCCAACCCAAGGCCCTCCAACCATCAAAGTCACACGGTTTGCGAAAACTTTTCCCAGTGTGGCTCTCAGTTGGCTCAAAGCACAGGAATATGAACGTCAATTGGTCCCCATGTGACAGGTCTGGGGTGGATTCAACAACTATTGAAAAATATTTGGCATCCCGAATCGCATCTGCTATTGTTTGGCAAGTTTTCTGACCCATTAGCTCAATGAGTTCTTCACATTGTCGATGACAAATAGGACACTGTGCCTCTTCCTTTTCCGCCAAACTTTTTAACTATGTTCAGCTAAGAATGGGTCAAATTGTGATAGCAATTCTAGGATGCCAAGGAAATTACTGTTATGGGTTGACCCAATCCATTCATCATCTCCCCTAAACGAAAGTCCTCTTTCACCCAAGAACTTGATCACTGCTACAACTCTTTTTAAAATGTCCTTCCAGTATTTACGTTCCCCATCAAGTTGCTGCATAAGACCTGCATCTATAGCACTGCCCTTTGTCCGCTGGTGCAAGGCAAGCATGCATGATCTGTGTTCTGCACTCTCTTCGTGCCCCCCTATTCTTTCAGAGTGATTCCAGTCACTAAACCCCTGACTAAAGCCACCGAGCTTGCTGGAGAACAGTTTGCATGCAAAACAGTGCACACAACCTGTTGAGGTAGCCACTGTCTAGAAACATTCTGCCCATTTGGCAATATACAGTTCAGGAGTTGATTGTTGAAACTTCTAGTCCTTCCACCAAGTGCTCTGCCTCGGTCTGAAGCTGGGTATGTTTCACTGCGGTTTTGGAAGGGGACTGCTCCTCTTTCAATCAGCACTGACTTAACAATGTCACTGG